GAAACGTTTCGGAAGCTTCCCAACAAAAGAATAATTTTACTTAACACATCGAGCCCACTGTGCACAAGTGATAAGAAAGAGCGATTTCTGAGTCGAGGGCCTTATATTGTATGTACACTTCCTTTAATAATTTAAAACCTTATTTTTCTTTTCTAAGAAAGAGTTGATGTTGATACTATATTATAGACTTGACGGTTGTCCTTATTTTTAGTTGTCAACCTGAGGAACAGTCAAACATAACGGTCCATCCGCATGGCTTGCGATACATACCGCTAAAAATTTAATAATTTTTCTATGTATCCTTCAGTCCGATAATCACCATCTTCAGGAATAAACTGACTGATGATTTACCATTGAGTAGGATCACAGTCAGGTACCAGCAAGTTTATGATTAAACATACATACAGTCGAACATAGATTCTCCTCTTTTTTGAAGTCGGTCAAAAAGAGATACGGTTATACTTATTGGAAAGTAAAGTGCATTGATGTGAGTGAGGTCCATTCAGAAATGTGGAATGTTCATAGAACTCAGTTTTATCAATACATCAATCGGTGACGGATGGAATAAAACTTATTATATTGATTACACATACACAATTATCAAATTATATTGGTTGTGGATGCTTCCCAAAGAGGTATTATTGAAGTTATACTTCTTTTGGCGCGTTAGGGAAAAATGATGACAGTAAATTTTTACGATGCTCGCGCACACTGTCACGAAAAACCGACACCCTGAAGTTAGCTAGACATCTACGTATGTTTGCGTGGGAACTGACAACTATATTCACGATATTTAAATAAACTTTATTTAACTAGATAATACGTTATAATAAAACTTGTATTGTAATGTATTAAATACCTTTTTTCTATTGTTAGTGTAGTTTTTTCTACAAACGTAGAATAAGTCGAGGGATAAAATTTTTGAAACGATTTTTATCTAGTTACGCCAAAGAAGTAAAACTTCTAACGCGTGTTCATTAGTACACACACACTTTTATTTTAATGTTTGTAAAACATGAGTGAACCGCTGTGATCTTCTCACTTGCGGAGTGGACGAAGGCGATGTCAGTGAGAGATGGAGCCGACGTTGGACCACCGGGGGGCCTTGTGATCTTATCCGGGTCGACGCCAAACGCCTCTGTCGCACCTTAATTAATACAGCCCGGTTTCAGAGTGATGCGCCGTCTTAAGGCCCGTTTGTTTTGCGTAATTAATACCCAGTTAGATGGGAAGATTAAAGCGGTAATTAGACGATGTTTTCGAAAGAAACTGAAGACCGAAATAAACAAACGAAAGGTAACGGACACTGACCCGACTTAATTCGTCGTCATTATCGGCATTTTAAAAACCACAATCCGTCGACCCTAAGATTATCCTTAATTAACCTTAGGGTCGGTCTGATTTTAAGAGCTAGAAACGTCGAAAACTTAAAAACTATTTATTAATAAGTAAATAAAACGTGATTATTTCGGTAAAACATTTATTCCTGTAATTCGCGTAAAAGAAATGGTTATATAAAAATATTAAGCATTCGATTCGATCATCATATCATGTGATGGCCTGCCGTTTGTGCATCACTAGCATAGCAGCATCAAAACAACCAAAGCCTTTAGGTTTCCTAGCAAAACGTGTATATTTTCGATAAAAAAAAATTATGTGAATAGTTGCCAAACGAGCAGACGGTTCACCTGATGTTAAGTGAATACCGCCGCCCATGGACATCTGCTACCCAAGGGTTGCAGATACGTTGACAACCTGTTGAAAAATTGGGCTCCCGCCACCTCACTCGCCAGTAGAAACGCGAAAGTATTATACTTCCACTTTACGCCGATCTTCTGTAAGGTCGTGGTACTTACCCGGATGAGCCTGCCCATTTGTGCAACAGCCGAGGCTGCTGCGTGGCCCTACCACCGAATATTTCAAAGATATGTGAAGTCTGCCAAGCCGCAGTGTGGTCGCGTAGTGGACTATACCCTAATACCCTCTGTACAGAGGAGGGCCTTTACCTTTGCCCAGCAGTGGGACATTTATAAAAAATCAAGTACCAGCTTACGCTGGTACTTGATTTTTTTTTATTTTACCTGATACGTCGAACAGCTGTCCTATCTGCATCGCCTACTTGTGCAGCCTACGGAAAGGCATAAATGAAACAGCACACGAAACACTGGTAACCGCTATAAGTCCCTCCGTCAGAACGGCACAATCCCGATTAACGTACACATGCCGGCGCCATGTGACTACCGTGGCAACGGAATACAACCGATTTTCAGGTCAAATCACAATGATGTAAAGGCGAAATTTGCGCGACGATCGTTTTCTGCGCGTGCCCTAATTAACATAATGGCGCGCGGCCCAATGTTATTCCATCTTTATCTTCACCTTACTTTGTGACGTTTACAAAGCGGCCGGGTTATAATATTCAAAGGCAGCGAGTCAAACCACATCGGTCGTGATGTTTTAAAAAGAAAGAATAGAAATTGCAAATTGCTTTCCTCGAATGCTATGTCGAACGGTTCCGCAATCGGAAAGTTATAATGGCTCCTTCACGAATATAAACGTTGAAAGCTTTGTCGTGTTTAAAAATTCGTTACAGTGTTTCGAGCCGGCGGAGTTTTTTTTTTTTTTTTTTTTCTTTGAATCTTCGATTACTCTACAAGTGACAAATGCACACTCGAAAAATTCGCACGTACAACCATAAAAGTTTTTCACAACGAAATTGCTACGCTATCAAAACACGAATCTACCCATTATTTTTTATCTGACTGCTGATTTTATACTTAAATAATTTTGTATACTTTTATTAAAAATACAGATAATAAGACCACAGAGTTTCTTGTCGGTTCTTCTCTGGTCAGGTCTAGTTGAGTGAACCGGTGGTAGTTTTTTTACATTCAAGTAAAGATTAAATTAAACCTATATTGAATAAAGAAATTTTTACTTTGAACTTTTACTTTTAACGAATGTTTTGAATTTCAAAAAATGTAAAAGTCTATTATTTTGTTAGTTACTTTAAAAAAACAACATGCAAAGGGGTATGCCGAAAATTCGCATTACAAGGAAATAATTTACAGTCCTGTGTGATAATTTATATTTATATGCGGAAATAATTTATTTGCTGCAATGGCTACCGCTTTACTACTAAACAAAATTCATACGATAATAATATTTAAAAATATAACGGCATACGATTTTGTGTACTGAAATGTGTCAATATGTAAAGTACGTATATCCGTAAGTTTTTAATTCACTTTGGTTTTTAATCCATCCTTTTCGTTAACATTGTGTGGGCCAAGTTATGAGAGGTATTTTTTTATGTAGGCAAATTTATAAAGCATCACAAATTATGAACATTGTATTCAATCTTTAACCAATACATTTTTTTTATAATCACCTTTGACTGTCAACATTTTCACCATTAAATCGGTTTTCTTTAAATTTTTTTATAATAGGTTTACTTTAAACACATGTTTATAAGTCATACAAACACAATCCTCTCATATTCATTATTCATATTAGCATAACCAACTCAGCATTTATTACAAAAAAATGATGAATTTTAAAGCAAAAGAGGCAAGTATTTTTATTCACTACGTCAACTTTTTATTTTTATGAACACTTTAAAAGAGCTACAAAATCCTACCGAGCGGAGAGCCCGTCCGACACAGTACGTCCAATGGCTACAGTTTCTACGGGCTTGTTTCGTTTTAGCGAAAGACGTAACGTGCTCGCGTCCTCAAACACGCTGGTTCGTCGCGACACGAGAATCCCGGCGCGCCGTGCAAATGGCACGCGACACGGCAATCGAGTTAATGACGTGACGCGACGCGTGAAGTGGAAGTGAAGTAGGAGCCAAGCCACGAGAGCAATTGACTACATTGAAGATTTCCGTGTCACGTGGACTGCTTGTCACGCAATTTGGCCGTCGCGCTGTTTCATATTTTCCGTTCTTGAGTGCTTACCTCGCGATAAAAGGATCAACAGTGATTCCTCCAGAAGTCCTGAAATGTGACAGATGATGAGCCAGAACAAGCCAATAAGTTTATCTTACTAAAAAGCTACTTTAGATCGCATCTTGACGTAAGGCTATTTCGAATATTCCGGTTCTGCGTACGGTGAAAATGTAAAAAGGTCGACGCGAATAAAGAAGGGTGTATATTCTATACCGGTGTAATAAATCCACGACGATTAAGGATTATTTTTTCAAAGCGATAACAGGGAGAGGACCACTTATAGCTTCGTCCTCAAGCGTGGATGCTGAAACATCATACGTCAGAAATAAAGCTCCTCTATATAAAAAAAAACCCTTTCAGAATATGTATATCGACGTATCGTTTATGACCGTCAACTTTGTACTACGTACCATAAATTACGTTGTTTAATTTTTATTAAAACTGCCTATACTTTGTCCACTATGCAACCTAGATAAAAACATCCTGATGTGAATCAAAAGACATCAAAAAACTGATTTATAACTATCACTTACTGATGACTCGATGGCGCAGTTGACTGTTAGCTTTGTCACCGAGGGTCGTAATTCGATTTCCACACGAGACAAGTATTCCTGTGATCCACAGATAATTGTTTGGGTGTTTATTTCCAAGAAGGGCTTGAACGTCAGGCAGGAGAGCGGTAGTTAAAAAAAATCTAGACAATTACGTTAACTACATGATTGACATGTTATGCCAACCCCACTTTATTTGAGAAAGGGCAGTAGAAAGTAAGAATTTTCTGTGTTGTCTATTTCAATTTATATATCTATTTTAGTTTCTTTTTTAACGTTACATCTTTTAGCGCGTTTGGGAAAAAATGATGACAGTGAATTTTTACGATGCGCAACATCTATAAAAACTTTTCGATATTTACATAAAATTCCATAAATTCGTTATTTAGTTACAAACAAAGTTATTTTTCTTTTATTACACTAAAGAAGTATAACTTCTCACGTGCATACCATAAGTGCACACACACCTTCCTTACACGTCTATTTGTTTCGTCGTCAGTGAGGCGAGTCGCGCCGCAGTTCTCGATACCACCGCCCCCGAAAACGGAAGTGATGCTGGGCGGCAATCTCACACTGAAGTGCGTCGCCTTCGGATCGCCGATGCCAACCGTGAAATGGAGGAAAGGTGAGCGGAACCACATTCATACTCGACTTGTATTTTTTCTTTTAGGTTTATTAGTAGAATACAATCCAGCATGTATACGTTCTGGCCATCGCAGTGTGCGACGACCCCACACTAAATGGAGTGACGACCTGTGTAAGTGTGCGGGAAGTTGATGGATGCATGTGGTTCAGGATCGTGCTTCGTAGGGTTCTGTGGGGGAGACCTATGTTCATCCGTAGACTCAAACAGACTGAAATGATGAATCCAGCATGATAACAAAAGAAATCTACACAGAGAAAAATATATTGCATTACATAGTGGAACATATTACGACATTATAATGGGGATAGACAATATAAAACCGTTTAAAAACTTTTAAGTTAAACGGTTTTATTTTATGTTTTTTTTTTGTTATTTTTTTTTTTGTTAATTTTGTATTGTCATCTAAATTAAATGTGTGTACCAAATTTCAGATCGATCTGACAACGGCAAGGTGCTGAAATTTCAATTTCTAATTTTGACCCAAACAAACAAATTCCGTACGGGTCGAGCTAAATAAAACCGTTTAATAAATAACATGTATTATATGTTCACTTAACTGTCTTCATGGCACGTTTATCATCTCATTTGTTTATTCCCTTTAGCACTCTAAATATTTAGAAAGCTTTATTCTATTGCCTCTATATAGAGGGGAATAAAGGTGCAAATAATAATTTGGGTAATGAAAATGTTTTGCATTCGTTCATTTTGTGAGATTGAGATTAGATTAGGATAGAATTTTATTGGATAAATAATTGTATTCATGTTTATATCAATTCTGGCATTACAGTAGCGAAATAGTGAATATTTTCATCATTCATTTATTACTTTCGGACTCATTTTGTACACATCTGGTTTAAAAACTTAACTTGCTCACTGAAAGGAATTTCAACACAGTCTGAAATTAAAATGAAATTCATAGAAATATGAAATTTCAAAGATAACTTTGTAAATTTGTATTAGCATACTGTGTAATGTGTCAGAAATTTAATGGAAACTTACCTTATAGAGGGTAAACAAGTAAAACTCTCTGACGTATGCACTGATATGATATTAATTAATATTTTACAAAACGAAAACAAATGATAGTTACATGAAGCTATTTTTACGGATTTACCGTGTTTATTTTTAATTTTAATTCCCGACGTTTCGGATTGGAATAGAGAAGAAGAATTGGATTGGGATCCTATCATCAATAAAACTAAATCTAGGCCCAAACGAACCACAACTCCAAGACAAGATACAATTAGCACCTTCCGCATAGATCATACACAAAATCAATGATTTAAAAAACTGACGGTAGCCCGGATTAACTATGACATCCAGACGTCCAACCCGTCTGTCCCATGGACGCTGTAAAGGATTCGAAAGGTCGGGAATTAAAACTAGAAATAAACGCGATAAATCCGTAAAAATAGTTTTACTTGTGGGAAATCGCATAAATACAAAAAATTATAATGACAGTTAATTTCATTGATTATTTATTTAAAATATAATTCAAATACTACTTCGTGGCAATCTCTGGGGGAGTCATAGTTGAGCAGTGGACTCAAACAGGCTGATATGATGATGATGATGATGATAATTCAAATGGAAACTATCAGAATTGTAGTTGAAGGTTAAACCTTCAAATATAAATATATAGCATTTTTGTTTATTAAATATAACCGGGAGGCACCGGTTAATGTAAGCTTTGAGAGAAATAGATGAAATGGAGATTTTCTGTTTCTTTCAGTTTCAATCTTTATTCTTCTCTCTCTCTTTGACCTGGTTTTCTAATTAATAAATATGTCGAAACCGTGTGTTTAATCAATCAGGTCTCACCAAGTGGCTGACACCGGAGGACAACCCACCCCTTGGCGTTAATACGCTGATCCTGGAAGACATTAGGGATTCGGCGAACTACACTTGCGAAGCGGCAAGCGTACTGGGAGTCATCGAAGCGACGGCGGAGGTGAAAGTGCAGTGTAAGTTAAATAAAGTATCTACTGAAATAAAACCATGCTATATCTCAAACTACGTATTTAATCAAGGTATTGATTAGGAAATACAAATTAGTGGAGGCATTACGAAGCCTTTCGTCGAGGTATTAGTGCATTAGAAACACAAAACTGTTTCTAATGCAGCGACGAATCAACTATGAAGATTGAAATAATTAAGTAGTAAGCTACAATTAATTATAGTTTTAAGTATTAGAACAATCAAATATTTGACGACCCGATTGGCCTATTGGGTAGTGACACTGCCTCTTGCACCACAGGATATGGGTTAGATCCCCACTACTGCAAAATATTCTGTGATGAACATAGTGTTTTTTTCGTGTCCGGGTGTTTATTTATGTATAATAATTATGTATTTATTTACAAAATTATGTTTAAGTATGTTTATTAGTTATAGTTTGTCTTCAATGTTAAGATTAGTGATTAACTTTTTTTAACGTTCTGCATAAAGTTATATGGATTTTTCTCTTAATTGTTTGCAATTTTTTAATATTAAACGAATTTAAATATCGTGTTTTAAGGCCCATATGCTGTCACGCAGTCGAATAGATATTAAGTGAACTCATCGCCAAACAAACCATTCGACTTGTGATCACTTGTGTACACACAGGCCGAGGTTTAATAACAATTAACAATATCCAATTGATCCGAACAGTTAAACTGCATTAAGACGCGAACAATTACGTCTCGAAGGAAGCCCATTTGCATACACACTAATAATTATCCCTGGGCTATGCTAATCATTAGGCTAAATACAAGTTAGTTATCTGGCCATTTGAATGCTAATTGAAATGCAATATGGTCGCGCGGAGCCGAGATAAGGTACGCGGAGGCTGTGACGTAAATCTCGTCATCCCGTAATACTGTTATTACTAAGTTAGGTTGGAGCCGCGTCCGGTGAATACAGTGGGAGAGCAAACGTTCTGTCTTTGGAGTTTGGCGCCTGAGATATAATTACAATTTGGCACCAAATTATGTGGTGCATCTTCAAGCGATTATCGATATCAAATATTCTTTAAGATGAATGTACAATAAAACTATTATTAGGAATCTCACATTCGATATTTATAAAATGTATTAATTATCATTAGAATATCACCTACTACCAGTTATAGAAATCTTTGTATTTTATGATCATTGTCAAGTTTTCAAAAATATTAATATACATAGTTAATAATACTTTCTATAAAAAGCATTACGGTGACGTTTTTTATCGAGCAACATCATATATCGCAAGGCGAGGTTATTTCCTTTTTACAACATTTAAATCATATTAAGCCTCGCTTTATTGAAAAACCCAATATTTCATATTTTAATAACAAAAATCTTCTGACATTTTGAAAAGAAAATTTTCATATCATCTATCGAAGATGTTTTTATCAGTTTGAATCGATACAACCGAAAAATACAAATATTCATCCCTAAATAAAGGGAGATTTTTTTGGTATAATTGTTTTTAATTAGGAATTCTGTTCACGCGAAGCCAAAAATGGACAATGTACTTTATAATCCATAAATTATATAAGTTAGGACACCTAAGCTCCTAACTGATATTCCGCGATATGTTAATAAAAATAATATTATTCTGTTACAATTAAGAGATGTTCAATTTGCAAATGTTTGTAAGTACGAATATATGAAGAATTACAGTATTAAATATGTATTGGCCAGTTTGGTTAATTAAAACTGGATGATGCCAATGAGTGTCGCATGATTATTTACCAAATACATAATATCACTTTGTTCGCGCAAATTTTATTGTTTGCGTCGATATTCCGCTATGCTGTACTGCTGACTTTTAATTAACTACATGCGGTTATTTATTACATTGGTGATAACGATCCAGCACTCTGCCAGGCTTTTTCGCTACGTGAATGTTTAATGTATTTGTTGTTTTATGCAATTAGACTGATCGCATCGAAAATTTCGTGTACACTATACGCAAAGACTTTTTAATAAACTAAAAAAATTGATATAAAACATAAGTGCTTAGAGACAATAAGTTATTCAAACCGGTATGATGTAAATGAAGTGATTCCGTAAAAGAGATTACTTGAAATTGGGAAAACGACTTAGTTTCTCTCAATTAATGATTACAATACACTTCGAGAGGATAAGTGTTCTAATTTAATGCTAAAAACTTGCACATTGATTTAAAGGGGTACAGAGTATACGAGTAGCTAGATTAACGAAAATCAATTTGACTGATGGTGTCAAGTCGCTGAGACATCCATAATGAATTGGTTTCATAATTCACAATTGTGAGGTCTGCGCTAAGTTCCAACGGGGATCCCCCGAGACAAACGAATGCCAGGCTGAATGGTGATTAATTATTGTTCTGCGATTTTCCCCGATTTAATTTAAAGCCCGCCCACCCCCGATCCAATTATCGAGTTACGACAGACCGCCTATTATAAGTTTGTGATAGTTTCAGCCTTACAAACGTCGGCGTCGATAGGGCTCTGCGTGTTTAATTGGCTTTGCGCAAGCAGTTTGTGTTTATTCTAAGCTTATGTAACATCGGCTATTTTTAATCGTCCATCCTTCTAATCAAGGTATCAGACAAGAGTTAAGCTTGTAAGTTTCGACCGATATGTAACAATCACTTTAGTGAATAAATGGAGTCTTTAAATTAATGATCATTATGTTTATATTACTTTTGCTAGATCATTATGTTATTTCGTAACTTAAATGAGACATTATTTTGAAAATTAACACACAAAACAATTCGTAAAGGGCAACGGAGCACTATCTCACTCCCAGCCATGATCGTTTAATTATCGAAATAAGATGACGTAATAGCAGTAGATTCAATGCGAAACGGGATTCCCCTGCAGTTTTTATAGGGTTTTCGTCATATTTACAGCACTGCCAAGCGCACCCACGGACGTGAGGGAATCAGAGGTGACCGCAACAACAGTACGCCTGGCGTGGACCTACAACGGACCCGAAGAACCCCAGTACTACGTCATACAGTACAAACCCAAATACGCAAATCAAGTAAGCAGTTACAAACATGAGCAGGTGTCTGATTTACCCGAAGTGATAGATGATCCACGCAACAGACATCACTGTTGAACGAATGGGCAGGTCCGTCCGGGTAAGTACCGCGGCCATACAAGAAACCGGGGCGAAATGGAAGTTGTACTTCAGCGTTTCATCTGTTTAGTGAAGTAGCCGGAGCCCACATAAAAGCACGGGTGATTTAAACGCCCATGGGCGGCGGCTATCACTTAACGTCAGGTGAACCTCTCGTTTGTCACATAAAAAAAAAGGTTTTGATCAATAACGAAAACAAATTTTTCTTATGAAACCATCAGAAAAAAATGTTTTCTGATGCTTTCAAAGGAACATTCTACACTCTCACCATCAATACATTCTCTTGCAGGCATTCAGCGAAATATCAGGTGTCATCACTCAATACTATTCGGTGACAAACCTGTCGCCTTACACCGAGTACGAGATGTACGTGATTGCGGTCAACAACATCGGCAGGGGTGCCCCTTCCGCACCGAAAGTTATCACCACTGGGGAAACGGGTAAGAATAGTAATAACAATTATTCTCAAGGCTAATTTCATTTTTCCCCATCCCTAAATATATCGACGATGCATAAACATGAAAAGCATTCTTTTAATTATTTATTATGCATGTCGCTTAAGTTGACAATACTCAAGTTGGAACGTTTATTATTAAAATGCTAACGTTATTTTGTACCTTTACTTAATCAATTAATTGATTTATTTAAAAATATTTCCTATAACATTAGACGGGAATGGCGCGCTGCATTATTTCATTATGCTTCGTCCAATGTTAATACATATATCGCTTGAAGTTTGAAGATTGACGGAGACTTCGAACCGTCGCTTTCAATGATTGTTTGGATGCGTTGTATATAACTTTGTTTTTACTTGCGCTGTGTACGTATGAGTTCTAAGGTGTTCCCTTTGATCGTTTCTTTTACATGCCAACGTTGTATGCGACGTGGCATCGCCGCCGCTTGATGTAAGTTCTGTTTTGGAACTGGTATATTATTCTTGTTCGCCGTTTACAAGTGTTCGTGTTTTTTTTTTATTCGGTCTCGTTTGCACTTTCCTTTTCTTTTACGTGTCAGATGTAGAGCTTCGGTCTCTATAGACCCTCATGCACCATTGCTTTCGTAGCTTTGTATCCGTTTAGAGTTGTTGTTGTTTTTGAAATTACTCGGAACGCACTAGACATTTCTCTATGGCACCTGTGTATACGTGTGGACCGACTATTGAATTTAACGCTTACTTACCATGGTTTTTCTTACACGCATTGCAGTGGATTTGTTGTATGGAGGCACCAGTAAGTATCTTTTCTATACATTCGAGCCTACTTTTAATTTCATGAAAATGTTAGTTATTAATAAATGCGTATCATTATATTATTTAAAATAGAGCATTATCAAGTACCAAATAAAGAAACTACAACCAGCTTGCGATATTTAGAAAATTGACACAATACGATAACGCTAAACTCACAAATATTAATTTATGTGTAAAAAAGACATTTTAAAATCATCATTTAAAATGTATACTTGTTTTCGGTAGTTTCCTGTATAATGTTTCTTTTAACATATAGGACTTTACGGTAACTTTATGAATTAAAATAATATGAGAGTTTTAACAAACTCAGCGGCGAAGGAAAAAACCCTGATCAAATCTGCATACTTTCGAAATTATAACGAAAATATTTCCACGGCAATTTTCGGCAAGTGTTGCTTGGTGGACTATGCCCTAATACCCTCCTCCGTACAGAGAAGGACTTTACCCAGCAGTGGGACATATACAGGCTGTTACTTTACTTCTACTTTTTTCGTGAAATTTTTAAGCTTGCGTGCAAGACAGAGTTTGCCAGAATATCAAATGTACGGGTGTTTAACGTTGTCGTGATGTTTCGGGATTAATGATGTTTGACGTCATCTTGTTTTGTATAGAATAATTAATGTCATGCAAAGTTTCAAGGCATTTTACGTTTAGTACTGATGATAAAAGATCACTGAAGAAAGACCACTGAAGAAAGACCACTAATCATTACGCCCAATTGACGTACCCTGTCTCTTGCGCCTGAGGGTGTGGGTTCGATCCCCACTGATGGAAACATATTGTGTGATGAAATTAGTGTTTTTCTAGTGTCAGGATGTTTATATATGTATATCTATAGTATGTATTTACGAAAGAAAAGTACGTTTAAGTATGTTTAACAGTTACCTAGTACCCATAGTTCAAGCTTTGCTTAGTTTGGCATTAGTTAACGACGTGTAAAAATACGACGTGTCCCGAAAGTTCGATAAATATATTTATTTAATTACGGATCTATTATATACGTCTCGATTATTATTATCACTCACTATTATTATCATTTTCTCACGTCTTTGAACCTCCAATAGTGATGAAATCGCCTGTCGCCGTACATTGGAGACAAATGCAATTGATTTTCTGGGCACATCTGAAAGCTGTGAAACGTAGGCGTCTCCGAGGCAAGAGTGAATAGTTTTTTACTGAGCTAGCGCGCTTACCATCAAGGGTTGAATCGCCACTTACCATCAGGTGGGATGGCATTCAAGTGCTGACCAGTTTCGAATTAAAAAAAAAAAGCTGATGCTCATCGGCGCTTCGGAACCGTGTCTCTCTTAGCGGTTTTCGTTTCCCAGTCGTAATCCACGCCCGTTGGCCCCACGGCGGTTTTTACGTATTTACATTGAACCGACCGCAATTGTACGGCGCGTCATTACGAAGCAATTGCAGTACTCCGTGTCGGCCATTACGCTCGTCTGTAATCAGCTTACGCAAACACAATTAAAACGTACTTTTGTACGTACTTTAATTATATATTATGTTTATGTATATTTTCGGTCGCGTTGCAACAATAATGTGGCGCCGTTCCTTTCGATTAGTTACGGTATTTTCGACACGTATTCATAAGCTTATCCTATGTTGTATGTATACGTGTAACTTATTTTCGTGTCACATCCGAAATCCCAATGGTTTGAAATTATTTACGCATATGATACCAATGATATATATGCATATAATACAATCGGTCTTTAGCTGAAGATAAAAATATACTTGATTAAATTATTAATAAAAAAGTAACATCCCATACATGTCCCACTGGTGGACAAAGGCCTCCTCCGTACAGAGGGTATCAGGGCATAGTTCTACTGCGCATTGGCGAACATATCTTCGAAATATTTTTTTGTTAATATTCCGAAAATATTCAGTTTTCCTCACGATGTTTTCCTTCACCGCTGATCACGTGATAATTAAACACTTAAAATTAACAATTTCATTGGTGCCAACACCGTGAATCGTACTCGAGTATACTGAATTAAAGGCTCAATAAAAAATAATCATAATTACTTGCTAATTATAATTAAATTATTTATTTCAACAAATCGCAATATAGATAGTAAACACAATCAAGAACTTTATAATAACACTTATTTCTAATTAAGTCTGTAGCATATTCTTAACACCATACTCTCGTTGAGCAGCTATCAAGGCAATATCACATTTACCCTTGGAAATATTAAATTTACCGGCGCCCTGTCGTCGGCCGACTTAAATTACGTGAAGCCTTGGCAAATAATAGACAGCACTCAATTGCGATGAATAATAACGAAAATGTGGTTATACAATAGTCAGTATTTACTTTCGCCGTAGGAAAACGCTGAGTTCCATAATTTGTCACTGTTCGAAGAGCAGCTTCATCTGCTAATAACTGTGTAATTTTTTGTCTCATTCTCTTTCTAACAGAGTATCCTCCTCTCCCTCTCAGTCTCTTTTCTACCAACACTGTGAACACCACCAAACAGATTATATTATAGATAAATATCATACGTCTTCCTGCAAGATATAACTCTACTTGGTGTATATAACACGCACTTGTGATTTCACCATAAATTAATTTTACAATACTATAATTACTAAGTCACGTGTAATAAGAAAATTGCTTTCCTACTAGTATATATGTGGGATTATATCAAACACTTGTTGCAGTTCATACGACGTTTATTTTCCGACTGCCCGTTGACATTCGAGTTGCATTTAACCTCTATTATAATTATACATAACACCTACAAGACTCCCTGTAGGACTTTAGCTCCACTAGGACTAGAAGAAAATAGTAAAAATAAATTCTGTCAACTGATCTAACAAGATTTTGATAAATAATTTACAAAGTAGATAAAATATATGGATTTATATATGGATTTCTTATTAAATGCATATTATTTGAATATTGTCATTTCAGTTCTTAAGAAAGTTAGGTATACAATTTTTAGGTACACTATATTCTTTGGAGAAGTTCATTTTAATTTTACGGAAGGAAAAGTTTCATGAAAAGCAAACCCGTTATAACAGCATTTGATCCACCCTTTAATCCAATAGCTTCTTGTTACCGCGACAAACAAGCTAAGTTAAGACGTCAATTTATCTCATTTAGCTGTTAAAGAGTCGATTGGATATTGGCTTTCACTAAGTATTTTAGCGCGGAAAGTAACAGTTCTTAATTGTATTCACTTGCGAATTTGTAACTTTCATTAAGCGATCGCTGCTAAATATTGTGCGCTATGCAACTCCGTTTAAATAATCTCTACGCGCAAGTGTCTATGTGAATATAGATAATTTGAATTTGAGTCATAATCTTCTTTATATATATACATATATGTATATACTCCTACTAAGGGGCTGGACCGATTTTAATGAAATTTTTTTTGTGTCTTCAGGTCGATTCAAGAATGCTTTAGATTCATAATTCGGTCCATTACATTAATTTTATTTATTTATAGTTGACGAACTTAAGTCCTGTGTACAGGACAACGTCTGTCCGGTCCGCTAGTATAATTATAAATTTATGTTAAAGATCATAGAGCAAGCACTCTTTAGTCACTCACTCACTCTCTCACACGAAATGTTACTACATTTCGTGTCATTTGAATAATATGTAACTGGCCACGCAACAGTGTTTCGCTGTTGCACAAATGAGAAATCCCGGGGAAATCCCCGGACGGACCTTCTCTGGGGTCGTAGTACTTACCACGACCCCAGAGAAGTATTTTACTTCCACGTTTCGACTGGTGGGTGAGGTAGCCGGGGCCCACTTTATTAAAAGGTTGTGGCGCATCTGCAAACCAACGGGTGTTGCAAATTTTAATGGGCGGCGGTTATCACTTAACGCCCGGTGAACTGTCTCCTCGCTTGCCACATTTACACGTTAAAAACACCAGCCCTTGTTTCTACAAACTAAAGTTCTACAAACTAAAGTTCTACAAGTTAAATCCACTAGCCTCCTTCAGACTTTGAAGAAAGGAGGCGCGCTTAATTTCTTTTGTGATTGTCCGTAGACGTTTTCTCTCTGTGTTCGCAATAAAAAGGAAACTTTAAGGAGCCGCCGGCCCGTATGCCCGGATTATAACCTTCTATTATTAAAAGCTTTGAGAAAACTTTTATTGTTTCCCTCACTCAGGGATGGATATTGCGAACGTGAGAGGGACGGACATCTCTTCGAGTGCCCCGCCCTATTTTCGTGTCGGGGACGATTACAAATCCTATTATCAATGCCCCTGTGTCCCCGCCGCTTCCGTACTTGTTTTTTTTTTTCATTCCGCACTCACTAAATTGCGAAGGACCTTCTCCATTTGATGTCTTATTATTGCCCTTACTGGTTGGTCCCAAAATCAAATTGAGTAGGAGGACATGGTACTATTGTAAATGCAACCATTACAAATTAAACTCAAGTTCTTAATTACCACTGGTACAACTCTGAGATCGTTTCGAGAAACTTCTCTTTGCAAACATTGCGAAACAAAATATTATTATCTAAATCGATTGTTTTTTTTTTTTTGTGTTTTTGATACACATTTTCATCAGTCTGGAAGTTTTATCTTCATTAAATTACCCCATCAAAGTTCAATGAACTAATATTTATTAGTTCAAAAGTTTATTTACGAAATATATATGGCAAACAATAATTTAAACTTAACATAACTAAACATCGTTAGATTACTTGGATATATAACCATCATTACTTATCACATACGACAAACAGAGCCAGCGAAACCACCGATGAAAGGGCAATATAAGGGCCGCGGAACGTGACATATGAAATTTGCTCAAGATAACGAAATTTCCTACACAGAGCCCGGTTCAGCGCCGCGTAACGTCCAAGTTCGTCCACTCAGCTCTAGCACAATGGTCATACAATGGGAGGAACCCGAGACGCCCAACGGCCAGGTGACGGTAAGTGACACAAAGGTGCCATTGAAAAAAGTTCCTAATTACCACTGGTACAATTCTGTGATCGTTTCGAGAAACTTCTATTTGCAAACATTGCGAAACAAAATCTTTAAGAATTTAAGATCTCGGAATTGTACCAGTGGTAATTAAGAATTTATAAAATTGTACATATTAAAGGTAATTTTTTTTTCTAATTTTCATATTTTATTACCATTACCAGTTTTTTAAGTTACTGTTTTCCTTAAATGGAGTATTTTATTCGATGTTGTGTTTACCTTTCATTTAAATTCATATATACGAAGTTTAACTTTACTTTTAGTTAGTTAAGTGCATCACATCAGAACAGTAATTGATTTCTTAGACTTTTAGTGGGCCTAATAAAAATAAATAAACTGAAACTTGATTATAAACAATTGGAAAATATTTTTAACTCTTTGTAAAATTCAGCGCCAAATTTAGAATATTCACAGCCTCCTTAATATTTCACATTGGTTAGCGGAGCGCTTACAGGATTTCATTATTATACAAAAACCACTCCGCAAAAAAACTTTTGTCTCTATTGTTCTTTGAAACGTATAATTTATCTTTTCAAGCAGCAAAAAAATATATTTTAAAGGAATGTAATCTGTTTTATTATTTGTCAAAAAATTTACATATTAAAGAATAAACTCTCGTACAGAACGGAATCACTTTCCAATAAAGCCACCGATGCGATGATTCACAATATTAAAAGAATTGAGCAATGTTGCGATTTTATATTTTTTAGAAGTTGCTTTAAAAATATCCTCTATGCTACCAACAATATTCCTGTGATGTCAATTTATGTTACTGGCAACAATATATATTTCGTTAGTATTATTTAGATTTCATTAAGTTTACATTTAGTTACACAATTACGTTGTATACTACTCGTATAAAAATAAGACTTGAGCTGGTAAACTAATTAAGTAAAATTAATCAACAACTAAATTCCGAACAAAGATGAAGATGTTAATATATTACTTTTGTTTCTTTTTTCTCAGAAATTGAAAAAGTGAACTGATTACCAAAATGATCTTTTTTCTCACAACCCAAAATATCTTTGATTTTTCGTACTTTTATTTCCTTGAGTTAACATTTATTTTTATTACTTGCACATTAACAGTGTGGACGTCTGGATTAGTTTTTTTCATTTTATCATGTTAACTTGTTGCAGGGTTATAAAATATACTACACGACGGATCCCTCTCAACCGCTTCAATCGTGGAATTCTCAGATGGTGAGCAAACACTTCTATCGTCTCTTTACTCTATTTTATTGCATTGAATGTGTGACAAAGTTTTTGAATTATTAAATGAGCAAATTGAATTGAATTCCAAATATTGACTAGCTGCTTCTGTAATTTAAAATCAAAATCGAGAGTAACAACGCACAAAAGCCCGGCAACGCATTTGTAAGCCCTCGGGTGTTGCAGGTGTTCATGGGCGGCGGTAATCACTTACCATCAGGTGAGCCTCCTGCTCGTTTGCCCCTTTTCTCCATAAAAAAATCATAAGACGCACGCTCGTATGCCCGTAGTCTGAACGACTGGCAGCCGAAGTCTTTTTTTATGTGAAAAGTTGCCAAGCGTGAACCGCCTGCTTCACCTGATTTTAAGTCATTACCGCCGCCCATGGACTTTCGTTTCACCTAGACATTTGTTTCACCATTATATTCATGTAGATAACTTGACAACCTTTTACAAAGTGCTACCTCACTCACCAGAAGAAACACGAAATTATAATACTTGCACATCACGCTGGTCTTCCAGTCTGCGTGGTAATTACTTACCTGGACGAGCCCGCCCATTCGTGCAACAGCAGAAGCTGCTGTGTGGCGCCGCCACAATGAAAGAGAGTCCGTGGTACTGCCACAGACGGGCCTGCACATTCGTGCAACAGCACCGTGGGTGCCCCACCACAGTGAAAGATCGTTTCCCACAGCTGGACAACAGCCACCTGACAACTATCAACGAGCTGACCCCCCACACGGTGTACACGATAAGGGTGCAGGCGTTCACCTCAGTAGGGCCCGGACCGGTCTCCGCCCCCGTCCAAGTGAAGACGCAACAGGGTGAGCAAATATACTAATTGGTCTCGAGGCCACTCTTGTATCGATCCTCTGGAGCAGTATCTTCTCAAATCTGGCATTTATTCTCTACCGGCAATGGTCGATCGGTTGTGGCTCGTGACCCTAATTGAAGTTTATCCCTGTAGATAGATGATGGCGTTAGGGAATGTGTCTAAGATATGACGTGCTAATCGGAACAAGATTAAAATTTTGCAAGTCTTTTGCTAATCTGTTAGGACGGATTACGTATGAATAGTATGTATAGATCTCACAATAAAATATCTTGTGCTATAAGAGAATCAGACAAATTGTGCTGTCGAAGTGGCTAAGTTCTGGGCTGAGAAGATATGATTTGTCATCGACACGTAAAGAAGAAGAAGAGAATCAGAACTCACAACTCATGTAGTCGAAATAACAAGTGTAAACAACCTTATTTGCTCCGTAGATACCACGGTTTGATTTTTGGTTTTTAAAAATGATGCGTACTGATCTATCAGTCTATCTCATAACTTTTTTATGTTAACTACTGTCAGTCTCACTCGCAAAATGTGAAAGCGACAGGTTTTTTTCATTTGCTTTTCCACTTTAAATGTTTACATATTAAAAATTAGCTTAAATATTGTTTACATATTATTATTATTGTGTACGGTTTCTATTATTTTTCTTATTGTTCGAATACTGCCGACTACGAGAGTCTACGACGCATGTCGACAGATAGATCCAGCTACGTTCTCAAGAGCACCTCTAGCCATATAATATTTCTTAATTATTCCAATACTACAATTTACGACGTCGCTGAGTCTACGGCGCACGATGACAGGTAGAGTCTGCTACGTTCCGTAGAACTCCACCTCTAGCGATGTATTAGCATTCGTGTGACGCGGTTTCGTAGGAGTGCCGTCGCAACCGTCCAACCTGGTGGCCGTAGAGGCGGGCGAGACCTCTGTGACGTTGCAATGGAAGCAGCCAATGCACGCCGGCGACCACATCGTCTCCTACGAGCTCTACTGGAACGACACCTACGCCAAAGAACACCACCGGAAGTAAGAAGGCTACGTTACGTAGTGTCTCTGTATGCATATTCGGTTGTATATACTGAGTAATTATGTTAGTAAATATTACTCAGTATACAAAAGCTGTGAATTTGCGGCATGATGTTTTTATTTTATATATTAATTAATTTATACTATTAATTTATAGTAAATTTAATTAATAATAATATTAAAAATATAGAAGTTTTAAGATACATTTTAGCAACAACAGTTAAAATATGTCTATCACGTATATATTGCGTTTAACGGATGACGATTCTTTTAAATATAGTTTTAAAAGGATTGTGACACATCAAAAAGTTTGTCTAACTTCCAGAAACTGTTTGATGATTTATCAATAATTTTTTTTTTCATTTATTATCTCTATTGCTTCATTTAATCACACTTTTGGTCATGCTATGGATTGTTTTTTGAATCAAAATCAAGTTACGTAACATAAATTCTTAGCGTTATCTGAAGATTGATAAACCTGTAAATAACGGTACTATAAATTTTAAAATCCGCAACAACTACGATATTATGGTTGCAATATAGCATTTCATACAATAACGCTCGAAATACTTTTATACAATATGTCTTCGTTATTTAGTCATGTGCTACGTATAGTCTACGAACGTAGCACATCGCATGATTTGCTGCGGCACGTAGACAAGAGAATTGTGCTGCTAGCAGAATATACATCCACATCGAGATAAGTACATCCGAGTACATATAGGTAGTTCAGTCCACGAAGACTCGCTCCACCATTGGTTTTATGCAGTGGTCTTATACACCTACATTCAGTGCATGAGTGCAAGTGTAATTTCTATGTAACTTAAGTGCGTAGTACCTTATTAGCCAATAGGAAGAGAGCGATGCGGTCAACTGGAAGGGTACTCTACTTGAATATTTATATAAAAATTAAAACAAAAGTGTATCTATTTTTTAACCGACTTCAAAAAGAAGGAGGTCATTAAATGAAACTAATGTACGGATTTTATCGCGTTTTTATTTTGATTTTGAAATTCTCGACGTTTCGACCCCTTTCTAGCGTTCATGGTCAGTCCCGTGACCAATGAAAACGTGATAAAGTCCGTAAATTAGTTTCATTTAATATGTATAATATTCGTATAAAATCAAGAAGTTAAGAAGGTTTCTCAATTCTAGCGTATATATATATATATTGTTTATGTGTGTTTCCGTTCGCGTAAAAACTTAACAGTAAAAACACAAGTAGAGTAATTTTTCCGCTTGTAATTTTCCGCGATTAAACACTGGTATTCAGTCTGACCGGGGAGGTCAAACTGAATACCAGGAGGTTACCCCGCGACTTCCCTTGCATAAAAAAAGAGTGGGGCGCGTCTTCGTGGATTGAATTATCTATACATCCGGCGATCTCCCCCTAGACGGATACAAAACACGGAAACCTACACGCTGAACGGCCTGTACCCGAACACGCTGTACTACATCTGGCTAGCGGCGCGGTCGCAACGCGGCGAAGGCGCCACCACCCCGCCCATTGCCGTGCGAACGAAACAATATGGTATGTTGGTACGGTGGGGTTACAAACTGACGAATGGAACACAAGAGCCATTATTGGCTTGGAAAGAGTTCGACGCCTTACAGTTAAAATGGTGAAAGGTGTCACACGTGTAGGAAGGGGCATCGGCAATTCGCCACAAGTATCCTATTACCGAATATCGAAATAGTGATATTGACGAACGTCGCGCTGGACTCCTTCCAAGCCATTCAGTTGAGACGGTAAAATAAAGTGAAAAGCATATAAACCTATTGTGGGTTTTCCAGGTAATTGCCACTGTAATATTTTCACATAAACGCACCTGCCCGGCACGCTGCCAGTAATACGAGCACAAGCACCAAGTTTTATATCACAATAATATGTGTTTTGTATTTGTTAACTTGTCGAAACGGTATTGTGTGCACGCTTTGCAGTGTTCGAAAATAACAGTTTTCATTATTCATTCCGTGCGCACTAACTTGTTTCATCCATAATTTGTGGCGGAAAAATCATCGAAACTTGAAACCGATTCGATGCGTGTGAACAATACCTTAGTAGTAGCTTTATGTTGTTCGTATGTCCAAGTTTATTCGATGAGGTTATTACGATATGAAGTTTTCCTCTGATTTTAATATATTGCTAGCGGCATAATAAACACTAGATCAATGTCATTAGATTTTGTATTCGCTTGTCAAGTGTTTGGGCCAGTTTGAACATATAACGATAGTGACAGTGTTCCTTGTGCCGCTGCTCTAGATTATGTAACCACCGAGATTCTCTTCCGGCAGGAGGAACTGTGTCATACACTTAGGTGCGGGCGAGCGGATCCTACATTACACCACACCGTTGTAAAACTGTATCATGTGCATGCTCGATTTATTTTGGACGGTACAAGTGTCCCTTTCGCACTTTTGTTTGTGGTTTATTTCCCACGTTTCGTTGTCACATTTGACCTCCTCCCCCCATTTTCCGTTTCTTTTCTCCCCCCTCCCCCCCCCCCCCCCCCCCCCCTCGATCGCATTCAGTGACGGCGTCCGGCACGGGCAGCGTCCGTAGCGCCTCACGCCCCGAGCCTTGTTCAGTTCCCGGCGCGCCGCCAATGAATGTGACCGCGGTGGCGATATCGCCCACCGCGATCCGGGTCACGTGGCAGCCGCCGCCCGCCGAGAGGGCGAACGGCCGCATCGCCTACTACAAGCTGCTCTGCGTCGAGTCGGGCCGGGGCGACTCTGAGGCGACCGTGGTCCGTCTGAACCGCACCGAGTTCGTGCTGGACGAGCTGCGCCGCTGGACCGAGTACCGGGTGTGGGTGCTCGCCGGCACCAGCGTGGGCGACGGGCCCGCCTCGTACCCGGTCGCGGTGCGGACGCACGAGGACGGTACGTGTCACGCATGCCACACGACGCCCGCCGCGCGGCACCGGCCCGTTAGGGAGGGGAACGCCGTCCCGTACGGTTGACTTTTCCTTTATGACTCCCGGACGTGTAGGTGCAGTTTCTTTGGGGGTCTGCAATTTCGAAACAAAAAAAAAAAAAAACACCGTCATCAACGGTCGAGGACGCACAGAGGCGAAACCGCCTAGTAGGGGAAAAAACGACAAAATTTTTTTTGTGATGTTAAGTTTCGATCGCGTAGATGCAATAATGTTGTCGACTTTAAAAGAGTCTGCAATCTCGAAACTCCAAAGCACCGTCTTCAACGGTTGAGTTTTTTTTTTTATGATATTGAATCCCGATCGCCTAGGGGCGATAATTTTGACAAATTTAAACGAGTCCAATTTCGAAACATCAACGCACCGTCTTCAACGGTTGACTTTTTTTAATTAAGTGTTGATTCCTGAACACTCCTGGTTTAACCATAGAGCCTGCACTCACGAAACAGAAAGCACCGTCTTCAACGGTTGAATTTTTTTATTGACATTTCGAACGTATAAAAAAGCAAGTCCTCGTAACCGAATACTGAATAGGTAGCGAAGCACTTTCCGCTCACATGTGAATTTTTGATTGCACTGGAACGAATATTGTTTATGACTAATTGAAAAAGCGAACGATGATTTCTGCATTCTGTAACATTTGCTTTTCTTTTATATACAACACAGTCCTTTGATTTGCAATAAATTTACAAAGAAAGTCGTAAATTTGAGCCTTCTGCAATTTCAATACATAAAAGCTAATGATAATCACTGATGATATCAATGACTGATAATGATAATCACAAAACACTTCACTCCAATAATGTACGATTTTACGAAACATCTTGACGATGTAGTACCAGAGGAGAAACTTTTAATGATCCCAACAAACTCCCTGCTAGACTAGCTCAATCTTAATGTTCAAGAAAGATTAATATCGATTCACGGGCTTATTTATCCTCTGATGTTACATCCGTACACTGATATTTACGATTTACTGTTCAATGTTTTTATTTGCGAAAACGCTGCGGGATTGGGTAATGGTTATTATTAAGTAGTCATATATGTTACGTGATACGAAATCCACTCACGTAAAATTTCGATATATACTTAAATGTATTTTGTATACATTAATGCGGTACGAATGGAAATGTAAAATTTTGGTTTTGTTCATAAAGCAAGAGGTAGCGAGTAATGAAGACGATCATTATACCAAGCTTTGCCTGGCCTAAATTTTTCCATTCGTAAACGTATTCATAACTAAATATTTTGAAAATGGTGTTGGGTTTACTTTAATGTAATAGACATACCTTTTATAATTCTTCATAGCCCTGAAATATTCAGCTACAGATAAATAATTTCAAAGATACTAATGTAATTGTTTTTCTTTTGTTTCTTTCTTGTGAGCATATAGCAGGATTCTAAACAAGGAGGTTAATTCTCGTAACAAAGTTTTAAATATGCTTGCCGATGAGTTTCGATGTAAATATTGTTTATAATTCACCACGCAGTTCATTTGACTTCACCGTATTAAAGCCGCTGTGTACAGCGGAATAGTGTCGATATTTCCACTCACTGTCACATGTAATGATTTGTTCCTATGACGCGTCTCATCGATCAGTTATTCTTTCAAACCGCTAATGATGGCACTCACTGAAATGCAAAAAAAAAAATTATACTGCACCTGGTATAGTGTCGACGGCACCGTTTATTGGTTTTTGGCGCACATTTATTGAGTATTTAGCAATGGACACAATTTTGCATGCTTTCTACGAGGACACAGCACTGTTTTTCGTTCAATTAATTTCACTGGGCACCCGGATAGGTTTAACAAACGTTTGCCGCACGCAATTGCCGGCAACTCTCGTTGAGGCAGTTGCGTGCGGCAATGATGCACTTTTAGGAAGCACTCAGCACAACTAGCGACAACACGAGGTGAGAGAGCGAGTGCGTGACACAACAATCATAATTATAACCGTTCGACAGGCTCACTAACTTGGGTCGACTTGTAACGTAAACGTTCGCGTTCCTATAAATAACTAGCGTAGTAGTCGAAATGATGAAGCTTTAGTCCACGTTCAGTTTACGTTTACGTTCACAAAACGAACGCGACCTGGGCTCGAGCCAGCTCGCACGGCATAGCCGGACACGCACCACGGCCCGAGCGCCGCATTTGAATACCAATACCGTCTCAACACGACACGCGCGCATGCTATACTACTCACAACTAATACTTCCGTACTGACTGTACTGTCTGACTACTTGTACTCTTAGCGGGAAGGCTGCGGGCCGAAGTGACAGAGTCCCGAGGATCCATTCCAAATTCAAACAATTTGCCAAATTGGTCCGTTGGATCCGAGGGATCAGATCCGTTACGCTCTTCGCCTGTATTCCCCGACTGCTCGGCTCGGACTAGACTACGCGCTCTCTATCTATCTTTACCTCTATCTCTCTGTCTGTCTCAATCGCTCTTAAGCTACACTTTCTCGCCAGTAGCAATATCTCTCGCCTTTCTTCCTTCTTCTGTATTCTCTATCAACCTATCGTCGTGCATGCACACTAGATATTGTGACATAATATATACAGAGAACTATATCGCCTAACTTACGCTAATGCAGTAAATTAAAGCGGTATACGGAGAACGCAGGGAGAACATTCGGCACCCGTCCCTCCTCAAGTACATAAAAGACTCGAAATCAGAAAGTTCCTTTGAAGAGCACAACCAACCGGCAACGACACCATGACACTGTCACAACTCACAGAAGATAGCGACACAACGGGGCGAGGCAACATACACACCGGCGCCAAGACGGGGGCGCCCATCGACAACAAGGTTACACTGATGAAGCACACACACAAAGATCGGCGCCGTCGCGTTAATCAATACATGTGCGTGTGAGTGAATTAACAGCGCCGAAGGGCGCACTCAAGGTCGGCGGTCGCCATATGTGCTTAGTCTTTTCCTGTTTCCAACCTTTCAATGCATTGAATTTTGTAACGCTCGTGCACCGAAGAAACAAGACTCATGTCATCAATACGGGAATTTTTCGCAAGAAAATGTATTTGCTTCAGTTTACCAAGGAATAGGTATAGAACCGGAAAAGGCAATGCACAGTTTAAAGCGACGCCGACGCCCCAAGCAGCTTAAACAGAATGCGCCTCCTAAAGAGATCTCAAAATATATAAGGAAGCGAAATAAGTGTCCCCATTTTGCCGACAAGCGTTTCTACTCGTAATCTCTCACTAAGTAGTTCCGTTCGCCCTGCAATGTATGCACAATTTGTCTTAAATGTATTTGAATGCGTTTTTCTCTTTTTTCTCTCGTCACTGACTTTATATGGGCCGCTGGTAACCCGTACAGCCGCAAAGAGTGAGTATAAATTACTATAGTGCTTGTATCAATGTGCGTTTGTGCTTGTGCCTATGCTTTGTGTAGCAATAATCTTCCTAGCATCGTTATCTAACTCTGGAACAAACTGCAAGTGGTTTCTATCAAAAGACGCATTGACGCATTTCTCCGAAGTCTTCCACTGACTCGTATACGACTTGGCGTGTTACATAACTGTCACGAGCTTTGATACCAACCAAGTCTTATTCATCGAAGCATGGATCCCTTGCAGCCTGTAAACAAATATGTGTACTGAAATAGAACTGCCGCTTATAAATGAACTCATAGATGAACTTACTAAATGTTGATCCTTTGTAAAAAAAAAGCTTTACTATTTTAGTTGATCTATACGATTAAAGGATATGGAAGGTATGAATTTTCAATTGTTTTGGTGATGTGAAAGGGCGTAAATATTACAGTGTGTGTTGGTATTCAAATGCCCGATCGAGATGCTGAAGGGCGTGCAAGATACACGCCGCTGACCAAAATACTCTATCAGCATTGCCGAGAGCAGATAACGGATTCACTCCGGTCGCAATGTCTTTTTAACCATCCAAAATTTTGCTTTCCGAAGTGCATTCACTTACCGCCAACGCTTGTTTTCCCCTAAATTCAAATTGCTTCAGGTAGAATTTTCACTAGCACGTTTACGTAGATGCTGATAGGGAGTTTAGGTCGTTAGCAGAACAGGTACGGGTCCGGGGTCTCATATAAGTTTGATGCTTTTACAGTGCCCGGCGAGCCTCAGGACGTGAAGGTGACAAACATCAACTCCACGTCGATACACGTTACTTGGAAGCCACCGCAAGAGAAGGAAAAGAACGGCATCATAAGGGGCTTCCATGTGCACGTTCAAGAAATGAGGGAAGAGGTAAGATTTTGAAATCGTTTTTAAATTATTTAATCATCATTGTCACGCGCACACACGAACCTTCACACATTATAAATGTGGAAGTTTCTTTTTATTAATATTTTTCCTTTTATCACGTTTTTCTGATGAATCAAATGCAAATGACACTACACAAATAATCGAATTTTTATACTTATCTTGAAATGCAATCTGCACTAACGCGTAAAAAAAAATGATAATTTGATCCGACTAAATATAACTATTTTACATTTGCTACATCTACTGACTTGTGCATCCTTCTCTCGAAATCCTTCGCAGGGCAAGGGTCTGCTTAACGATCCGATGCGTTTCAACGTAATGGACGACACGACGACGGAACTGAACGTTACCGGTCTGCAGCCCGACACTCGTTACAGCGTCCAAGTGGCCGCGCTGACCAGGAAGGGCGACGGCGACCGTAGCCCGCCAGTGTTGATCAAAACACCCGGCGGTGTGCCCAACAAGCCCACCGTCAACATCAAGTCAGTTTCACTGTGGCTAAAATTTACATTGCAAACTGAAATTAACATTAAACTAAGTATACATTCAATAAAATAATTTCTCATATATCACGTTTCTGTGCGAAACTTCGAACGATTTTACCGAAGTAGCACGTGATAGTTACTTCTAAATTATATTCTCAACATTGAATTGTAAAGGATCCCTTTTAATTTGCCCGATTATGACTAAAGCAAAAATATTGAAAATTATTATAATTTACTTATTCCATATAACAGATTTTTTAATTATCACCATATCATTATCCTTTTCCAATTCTTGTATAATTTAATTGGATATAAAATTTTGTTTTAGAGTTCTGGAGCGAGATCCGATTGTTTCTGTAGAATTGGAATGGGTTAAACCCACTCAAACCTACGGTGATTTGCTGGGCTATCGACTCAAATACGGGATTAAAGGTCAAAAGTTGGATGAAGAAAACTTTGGCATTAAGGTTAGCTCGTACAGGCTAACGGATATGGAAAGAGGTGTACAATACGAGTTTAGACTGGCTGGAAGAAATAATATCGGTGTAGGTCAAGAGAATATAAAGTATTGGCTAACACCCGAAGGGGTACCGAAAGGACCACCAACGAATGTTACATATCATTTTCAAACACCCGACATCGTCAGCGTAACGTGGGAGCCGCCTATTAGAGCGGATCGCAGTGGCCAAATTAAAAAGTATGATATTCAATTCTACAAAAGGGGCGATCAGGCATCCCTAGTAGAGAAAACGACAGAATCGACCAAAGCTGTGTTCACCGGTTTAGAAGAAGACGCCCATTACGTTTTTAAAGTACGAGCTTATACCGATCAAGGGGCTGGACCTTACAGTAAAGACGTGATTGCCCACACCGAAAGGGATATCGGACGAGCGCCTATGTCGGTCAAAGCAGTTGCCACATCGGAGTCGGGAATCGAAGTCTGGTGGGAAACAGTACCATCGAGAAGAAAGGTGATCGGATACGTCATTTTCTACACAATGACGCCCGTGGAGGATTTGGACGAATGGCATCAGAAGACGGTTCATGTAACGCATTCCGTAGATATCGAAAACTTGGAAAAATTTGCCGAGTATGCTATTGCGGTAGCTGCAAAGACAGCTGATGGATTAGGAAGATTGTCGGAAAAGGTCACTGTGAAGGTTAGGCCTGAAGAAGTACCTTTACACCTGAGAGCTCAAGATGTGTCTACGCACTCTATGACGCTGTCATGGTCACCGCCCTTACGCTTAAACCCTATTAGTTATAAGATTTCTTATAATGCCATCAAAGAGTTTGTCGACTCGCTCGGTATGACACAAACGCAGGAAATTCCAAGGCGAGAAATAATTATAAAACACGATAAAACGTCGCATTCAATTAATGATTTATCGCCATTCACAACGTACAATGTCAACGTGAGCGCCATTCCCAACGATGAGTCGTACAGGCCGCCGACCAAAATTACCGTAACGACTCAAATGGCGGCACCAAAGCCGATGGTCAAACCGGACTTTTATGGTGTGGTTGAGAATGAAATACTCGTAATCCTACCACAAGCCTCGGAGGAATATGGCCCCATTTCGCATTATTATTTAGTCGTAGTCCCCGATGACAAAGCGCACAACCACAAGCATCCTGACCAGTTTTTAACGGAAGATCTGATCAAAAATAATGCCCGAACAGATGACGAAAATGCCCCGTACATCGCCGCAAAGTTCCTACAGAGAAATATTTTGTACACTTTCCACCTCGGAAACGACGAATTGTACGAAGGTTTCCTCAACAGAAAATTAAATCCGAGCAAGAAATACAGAGTATTTGTTAGAGCTGTTGTTGATACGCCACAAAAACATCTTTACACGTCTAGTCCGTTTTCGGAATATCTATCGTTGGACATGCGTGAAGCGCCGCCGGGTGAAGAGCCGAGTCGACCAGATCCGAAAGACATTAACGGCGATCCAGAAATAAGGATTGAAGAAAATAGAAAAGAGGCTGGCATGCTCTGGGTGATCGGGCCAATAATTGCTGCTTTAATGCTGTCTCTTTGTTTAGTGCTATTGTTCATTATGAAGAGACGCCGTCAACCATGCAAAACCCCAGATCAGACAGCCGTAACCAGACCACTGATGTCTGCTGATGTCGGTTTCGGTGCACCCTCGGATCCAGTTGAAATGAGACGTTTGAATTTCCAAACTCCAGCAATGATTTCTCATCCACCTATTCCCATATCAGAACTCGCAGACCACATTGACAGGCTAAAAGCTAACGACAACCTGAAGTTCTCCCAAGAGTACGAGAGTATCGAGCCCGGCCAGCAATTCACTTGGGACCATTCGAACATGGAAGTGAATAAGCCAAAGAACCGGTATGCCAACGTAATCGCATACGATCACAGCCGTGTCATTTTGCAGCCGATCGATGGGATACTAGGGAGCGATTACATCAATGCCAACTATTGCGACGGTTATAGAAAGCACAACGCTTACGTAGCGACACAGGGGCCTCTGCAGGAGACCTTGGCCGACTTCTGGCGGATGTGTTGGGAACTGCGCACTGCCACGATTGTCATGATGACTAAGCTGGAGGAGAGGACGAGGATAAAGTGCGACCAATATTGGCCAAGCAGGGGCAGCGAGACGTACGGCATGATGACCGTGACCATTGCGGAAGTCCAGGAGCTGGCCACTTATTGTATCCGCACGTTCCAAATAACTAGGAACGGTAGCACCGAGCGCCGGGAGATAAAGCAGCTACAGTTCACCGCTTGGCCTGATCACGGCGTTCCTGACCATCCCGCACCATTCCTGCAATTCCTGAGACGTGTTCGCGCTTTGAATCCTCCCGACGCTGGTCCTCTTGTGGTTCACTGCTCGGCTGGAGTGGGCCGAACCGGTTGCTTCATCGTCATCGACTCTATGCTCGAGCGCGCCAGACACGAGCGGACCGTCGACATCTACGGGCACGTGACTTGCCTGCGCGCCCAGCGTAACTACATGGTGCAGACCGAGGACCAGTACATCTTCATACACGACGCGTTACTGGAGGCGGTCATCTGCGGCGACACCGAAGTGCCGGCGCGCAACCTGCACGCGCACATCCAGAAGCTGATGCGCGTCGACACGATAGAGAACATCAACGGAATGGAGCTGGAGTTCAAGAAGTTGGCGAACATGAAGGCCGACTCGAGCCGCTTCGTGTCGGCAAGCTTGCCTTGCAACAAGCATAAGAACCGGCTGGTGCACATATTGCCCTTCGAGTCGACCCGCGTGTGCCTGACCCCACGCGACGGCTCGGACTACATCAACGCGTCGTTCGTCGACGGTTACAGATACAGGGCCGCTTACATCGCCACCCAGGGCCCATTGCCCGATACGACGGACGACTTCTGGCGAATGCTGTGGGAGCACAACTCCACAATCATCGTGATGCTGACCAAGCTGAAGGAAATGGGACGGGTATGCTATCGACCATACTATTTTATGCTAAATATTTTTTATTGAGTTCTTGATATTGAATATTCGCAACGATTATTTATTTGTTTTCTAGGAGAAATGCCATCAGTACTGGCCGTCCGACCGCTCCGTTCGCTACCAGTGCTTCGTCGTCGATCCGATCGCTGAATATAATATGCCGCAGTACATCTTGAGGGAATTCAAGGTATTAAGTTTTAGTACTTTAAGAGACATCAACAAAAATATCTATACAATTATCTTCAAATCGTTTTTCCATCCAATGCGATTCTTTTGCAAACCAGATGTACAGATAATTAAGATTTATAAATTCGTGACCTTCACACTATCTCAAACAACCAATATAATAATAATTAATTGTAATTTAAATTGTTTATAGTGCTAATCTGCAAAGAAGATAAGATTGAACATTAAAATATGTAGAAAAAGTGCAAAAAGAATATAACAATAGATGGCGCCAAGCATTGCTTCAAATGCTAAGAAAACAATGTAGAAGAATACGTTAAGATTTTCGTCGGTGTGGCAATCAGCCGTTTAGCTCAGTGGCTAGAGCGTCAGGCCGCGAATGCCGAAGACGTGGGTTCGATTCCCACAACGGCGACAATCTTTTCGCACTTTTTCTACATATTTTAATATTATAGATTTAAAGCTTTGGAAGCTATTTTGCGATCTCATATACGCACTCAATTTCAATCTGTTCATCATCAATCGACATTCAATCATACATACCACAAAATTTACAAATGTTGAATCGGGTAGCCTGGCAACACAGATCCCCACGTTCCACTATGCTTCCACACATCTCTGCCACGTCCACAAGTACATTTGACTTGAACGTTTATTGTTTTAACTCGATCCGTTCCCTCGCGTTTGCCGTTGGGTGTAGGTAACGGACGCCCGAGATGGCGCCTCGCGGACGGTGCGCCAGTTTCAATTCACCGACTGGCCGGAGCAAGGGGTGCCCAAGAGCGGCGAGGGATTCATCGACTTCCTGGGCCAGGTGCACAAGACCAAGGAGCAGTTCGGCCAGGACGGCCCCATCACCGTCCATTGCAGGTCAGACTACCCACTAGGCTGTTTAGTTTGTTACCGTTTTGTTCTGAACAGAATCTGCTTACGTGGTAACTTACTTATGAACTTACTAGCTGCTGCCCGCGACTACGTCTGTGTAGAATAGGCTGAAGGCGTGACATTCAGACAGAAAGACATGTATACATAAAAATATGAATATAAATTATAGCCTATGTCTTATTCTGATGTAAAAGCTATATTATTGTATAGTTACATTACAATCCATATAGTAGTAAGTACTACCATTGGTTCGGATATTTAGACCTAACGTAACAAGTACTGTATAACTCCAACTCAATGCGTTCATGACAATTTGATGTAAACCCCCCCCCCCCCCCGTCACTTTCGCTCCGCTTACGGCGTGTCTTAACAACACCTTTGGCGTGTCATACACAGTGCGGGCGTGGGCCGCACGGGCGTCTTCATCACGCTGTCGACGGTGCTCGAGCGCATGCAGTACGAGGGCGTGCTCGACGTGTTCCAGACGGTGCGCACGCTGCGCACGCAGCGCCCCGCCATGGTCCAGACCGAGGTGAGCGGCCCCCGGTCCGGACCACGTTCCGAGACCGATGCTTTGCCACTGCCTCTTTCCCCTTCCTCGCACTAGGGACACGCCGCGGCTTCCACTGTAGCACGAACGGGCACGCTCGTCGGGGGCAGTACCACGGCCTCACAGAAGACCGGAAGCAATACTCTTCCGCGTTGCTAAGTGGTAATTTCTAGGAGGGAAAAAATGTTTTATCTCGAATTATTTATTTTTTTCAGTTAATGATATCATTAGCATGGGATTACGTTTTTGGTAACAATCCGTTTTTGTATGTGGTATAATATGTTCAGTCTATATTCCAACTTAGTGTGTTGGAACATATTTGTAATCCTTCATATTTCAGCAGAAAGAGTTGTCGGACATTTAAGAACTTAATGATTTCTTACTTATACGCGAATACTAACATTTTGGTTAAATTAAACTATTTTACGGATTTTATTGCGTTCTAATTTGATTTTAAATTCTCACCTTAATTAATATAACGCGATAAAATCCATAAAACAGTTTCATTCAACAAAAACATTCACGATCCGTTCTTTCTGTAGGACCAGTATGAATTCTGCTACCGCGCAGCGTTGGAATACCTCGGCTCGTTCGACCACTACGTCAACTGACGCTGATACATGCTCGTCTAAGCGCCTCATCGGGCGGTACCTGTCGTTTGTCCAACCGGCATCATTTCTGTGTACTTAAACATGTCTAATATGCCCCGCCGTAATTGCCTCGATGAAAACAGTTTTCAGTTTCGACAGCTACCGATGTTTCACCAGCAGCAGTGACCGCATCTAAAACACCAATCAGTTACGACCAAACCGCAAGAAACTAAATAAATTATGAATAAACGAATAGAATAAACGAAAATAGTTAAACGAAAACTATCTTGTCCACATTTGTTATAATAGAAATGGTCTGGAAAAGACTTGACGTTGACAATACCTCTTTGATGTTTGTATTTTTTTCGCTAGGGAATCTTTTATCATATTCTCATACAGTACCATTCTTTGCATGTACACTTTTATACTTTGTGCATCGACAGGGCCCCGAGTATCATATATTTAGTGTAGTGATGTTACCACGGTATTACATACTCGTTCTTGCATTAAACTTGAATGTTAATAAATTGAGGCTAATCGCGTAACAGTGCCTAGAGGAAGCAAACTTATGATGTAAATTTTACGATATTGAGACCATAGAAATTATGATTGTGAGACGGAAGGGTAATAAATATACACAGTTCACTATCCAAATAATCTACTTACGGTAGCTATATAGACTAAATTCAACGCACGGCTCTTTGTTTAAGGACGTGCGATATATAGTAGAATAGTGCTTTACGAATATTGATTATATCGATATATAAGAGTTTAACAATTGAGATATCACGAAACGTCATAACGGACTTTGTACGCGGCGAAACTAAATTCGAAAAAAGATCTCGACAACAACAATGTCAAATATCGACATCTGTATGTTATTGATATAGGACAATTGTTTAATATCTGCATTGGTACATACTTATGAATAAGATATCGCTATACAAAGAGTCGCTAAGTCCATCTCAAACGGGTCGACTTTATTAGACTCATTGAAATGGCTATTAACAAAAATTAAAACTATTAAAGTATATAACTCTGTAATGATAACGCCATTGAAATTATAATTTGCTATTGAGATAAAAAAATATACTAGTGAATAATATCGAAGCGCTTAGAGAGATTTTAAGAGTAATATACGCGTTAAACGATATACCGACGGTCATATACACATACGATGCAATTGTAAAATGTATAAATAGTTATTGCAGCTGTAATTAGGAGTTTATTTTTCATATCGGGTGTTACGTACGGTTAGGTAGTGTAAATTTCGGCGACCTGTCTCATTGTCTCGAACATTGCCAACATTATAAAGGAATCGGTCGTGTGAAAACTCTGTGTCGGTCCTCTGCGAGTTGTGTAAATAGTTATTTTTCCCCGCTATAGCATATGCTTGACGCGCTAATCGCAAACAACGTGATGGGGTTGTCGAAGCAAACGGTTTTTCCGATATATCTCGGCCGTGATAGGAGTGTTAATACTCCTATCACGGCCGAGATATTATACTATATGGATTAAACGTAACGCTTGATGATCCTCGTCACTTAGTATAGTCGCAGTTACACTGGCTACCGATTTGCTCGTTGAGCTCTTCCTGAAAACTTTGGTTGCACAGTTTTTACGCAATGATATTCATTTACTATCGCGTGAACAAGATTCGAACGGCCGAGTTCTGAGTACATTACGGCCCCAGATAATTTGCAACGATTCCCAAAATTGATATGGTCTATATTTTTTCCGTAACTAGGTTAGGTGCGATAATTTTTAGTGATCACTGCCCCCGCTTCGGTGATGATGGTGATTCGATGACATATCTATTTTTATTAGGTAGAAAAAAAATGTTTCGTCTGTGCGTGCTAATAATGGTAAGGTGGCGAGATCGGATCGTATTGTGAACTCGACGCGCGATATCGATCGGTACGGAGGTCGGCGAGGTTTCGAGTCGGTATGCATTTCCCTTTTATTGTTCAGTTCGGGACTTCCCCCCTTGTAATTGCGAAAGCCCTGGTTGGTCCTACTCACGGCCGCGAACCAAGCCTAGCAGTAACCCTCATCACACTATTTTAAGCTATCTTTAAGTGTAGTACATTATTTAATATTTTACAATAATCCCCTTGCATATATCTTATAAGGATTTTTAGGTTTTCCACTCGTTTTATACAATATACCTATTACTTGTATCGATCTACTTATAAGTTAAAGTTGAGCTTTTAACTTAGTAAGATAGGGGAACGTATTGCGCTCTACGGAACGTAACGGAAGTTAACGCAACAAATAGTAAAGTTTTGATTATACACCGTGATCGAAGTTCAATCTTATCGGACATAAATTGTGTTCGAGGAAGCCTTAATGACGCGTGGGATGTGTGGACATCAATAACACACACATGCATAGATTACATAGGCCCTATAACTCCACCACTTATCCAACACTTATTTTTTTTTAATACATGCTGAAACATGTTATCAAACAACCAGGTCATTTTTGATTGTTTTAAAATTAAATTGTTGTTATTTCAGTAAAGTTAACTTCAGACAGAGAAATATCAGGTTTTGTCATCTTTCTTATCCATTTAGGATCGTCTGGTCCGATCACGAAAACCGCTACTGCCAACCGTTTCACTTAGATCTAATGAAATTTTAAATGTATCGTTAATATACGGAACCTATGTACTAACTACGTAGATTTAATGAGGATATTGTTAAAATCATAGTGAAAATTTAATACTCGTTGATGGATCACCCATTTAGGCGTGGTTCGAAGCCATATACGGTCAGCGGTATGGAATGCTTTAATAGCATGGCGGCTACAGTGTGCAGCTTTTGTATCCAAGTTCTTTAGCTTTACTACAATCGTCTCATACATTAACTTTTTATTTACAAACATTTATCATTTACACCTCATCATATTTAATTATAATCCAGTTCATATAACTGCAGTCACACGTTGTCGCGACTCGTCCGCGTGAACACAACGGTGACTCTTCTAGGTTATGCAAAGTACGGTTATCGAAACAAGATCAATTAAATCCCAAACGATTTCGTTTTATATTTAATTTGTTCTCAAATAAATGCGATACCCGCCCGGACGCTTCCGTACGCACATAATCGATATCTTGTACAGACAGAATGTCAAACTATTTTAAGCAGAGGCATCGTTTTATTCGGCCTAGGTCCATTTTTGTGCTAGCTGTATCACACATACCAGCTTATCTCAAACGCGTCTGAAATGTGGAAAGGAGACATGTTACGGTAAAAACGCTTTTTAAAGTGCAATCGTTTAGGTCTCCTTTTCAAATTTTATTCAAAGAAAGAATCAAAAACCCTGCATTATGCTTAAGTTTAACAAACGCCAGTGTGTTTATAGCCTAAGTTTTATGTATAATCAATGGTTTTTTTATTATTATTATTATTATTTGTGAAATGCCATACGAAGGTGCTGTAATTCCATTGTTATAGTACAAATGTGTTTTTTTTTAATATATATGTATTTAAACGAACCTTCCGCGGTGATTTCCCCCTTTCGTGTTCCTCGATCAACAATTGTTACGTTTGATTTGACTGTAAAAGACTGATGTACTAATTTGATTGTTTTCTGTCCTTAATTAATTTCTATATGTAATCGTGTTACTATCTAAAGTAAAATTCATGTGAATTGTTTTTATTGCGTATCATGCAAAACTCCACTATGTTTAGTTCAATCATTCGTCATTTGATTTTTTTACAAATCCTTAAACAATTTTTATAGCACGTCAAATGACCATATGCTTTTTATTGACTTCGAATCGATGGATCCGTTTCAAAGAATCCTATTATCGTGTCTATTTTTAAATAATCAATCAATGTATGGATGAATAATTGTAAAAATAATAAGAACAAATTACCTTAAATACCTCTGTTCCGTGTACAAATTTGACAACCATAAATTGTATCAAGAAATTGTAGCAGCCGCCATTATTATTATTTGATTCGCTAACTATAAACTATAATGCGTTTTAAAGCGGCGTCGCTTTATGTCATCTGTATTTTAGTGCAATTAAAATGTCGAACGCAATATGGCTGCCGGTAACGGTGTGTGAATGTAATTATTGTAGGAGTTTGTAGGCGATTATTTTGTAAAAGGTTAATCCCGCGATACGTCTCGGGAAACAGTGGATTCGCAAAATTATACATAATGTATATTATGAAGAAATAAATTTATGTGAGACCATACCGATTGTTTTTTTTTAAATAGCATGACACCCATTAAACTCAACAGGTGCAGACGGAGAATCACCTTTCAGTCTTCGATGTCAACTTCATCTTACAATTGTTATTGTATTTGTTTACCTTAAATTAAAGATAATTGAGAAATAAAGAAAATTTCCCCTGTAACCGATTCACCAAACACAAAAAAAATAATACTTGCTTACATATTATGTGTCCCATTGCAGGGCAGCCTCGTATTGGCCATCATCAACCACCCCCCTTGATGATTGAGTGACGACCTGTGTAACTGTGTAAGTCAGCGGGAAGTCGATAGGTGCAGGTGGCTCAGGATCGTACGTCGTGGCAGTCTGTGGGGGAGGCCTATGTTCAGCAGTGGACTCAAACAGGCTGAAATTATAGTTATGATGATGATGATAAAGCTCCCTCCAAGTCCGCAATTTCCAAAAGATATCTAAGAGTGAGGCACAGATAATATAGAGCAATAAATATATTTAAAAAGCTTTGATGGACACTGACATTATTTTTTAAATTCCATTTCCTTCTGTTGAATATCATTGCATATTTCTCGTGACCTGACCCACTCACAGAATCCATTACGCTATAGGTATACTTTAGATAAATGAATTGATACCCACTGATGCATTCACGTGAATAAATTCGGTGACATGACACATCGTGATAGTCAATAGCATCATGCATCTTGCATCAATAACAAATTAAATTGTCACAATATCGTATTCACTGATACAACTATACTACATAACTATCATCGTATTTGCCTATTGCTCAGTTTACTTATAATAGGATACA